GGGTGCAGCAGATAAAGCTAGTGCGGATGATTCAAGCAAGGAGAGACGATCCTAAGGATTTAATTCTGGTCAGCAGTTAGTTCAAGCTAAGCGACTTGAGTTTGAGGTGAGTGTAAAGGGGTAAATTCCACGCCTTACATATTCTTTTAAGTATTATGATTTTGAGTATTTTAGCGAATTGGTTACCGTTGCTTGGTTATGTCTATAATTGCTTATTTGTGCTTTGCTTGAGCTATGATTTGAGGTGATTTTGTGCTATTTACCTTAAAGCGTTATGTTTGAGTCATGGTTAAAGTTTAAGAAACAAATTATTTTAAAGAAGTAACTCATCTTCAAGAAGGTGAAGTCGTTTTAAGTGTTTTTAGTCACTAGCGCCAGTCCGTTGCCTTTTGAGACATTTTGAGATAGAGCGGCAGTTATGCTCTTGAGACTTTTAAGATGGGCAGCTGTTATGCCCTTGAGAATCGTGGTGAAGAGCCACCACGATAAGTTTAAGATGTTAGGGGGATGAATCGTTACGACTTCCCTAACTAAGTTTAAGTTTAAGGAAAGCCTGAATGGCTTCTCATACGTATGAGTTGGCAACCGGACTAGCTAGTGAGATCCACGTGTCAGTCAAGAATTTAAGTGGAGATTTGAGTTTTAAGAGTACAGTTTCAAGAATCTTGATTTTTAATAGTGGAGGTACAAAACAACTTCCACTAAGTTAAGTAAAGTGATCCAGTATTAATAAGATGTTAAACGTAAGGGCGTAGACTGACGCCAACTCACTCACCAGTTTGAAGAGGAAGAAGCTAGAGGAGCAGTTAGAGAGCAGCGGGATCGAGAGAAACAGTTCGAGTGAAGCTAGGTAGAGGAGGACGGTACGAGCGTCACAGAGGATGTCTAGTCAGAGTTTTTCACACCAGCAACAACACTTGAGACTAGTTAGTTATTATGTTTTATGATTATAAGTATAGACTGGAGATCAAGTTGAGTTTTTAAAGTTTGAGTTAAGTTGCCCACGTGTTAGGGCGTTGCTTTGAACTATAAGAGTGGGTTTCAGAAATTTGTTTATGAAAATTTTTCCCAGTTACAATTTAAGATTTGAGTATTTTATCTATCAAGGGCATTTTAGTAAAAGTAGTACCCAGCCGGGTTAGGGTGTTACATTTTGGTATCAGAGTAGGTCTTCCTCTATTCCTTGGTTTCCAAGGAATACTGGAATGTCGGTCTCAGTTTTTAAAGGTTTTGTTTCAAAGGAAAGGAAAATGAGTCAAGGGTCTCCTTTTAAGTGTCTATAGAATCTCCAGTCTACTCTAATCATATTAAGATAAATAACTTTAGTCCTAATAAAAGGGTGTGCCAATCGCAAAGTTCTATCCCGAGGTATAGGTACGAGGAATCAGAGGAGTCAAAGGAACACTACGAGGATTTTTCTACTTAGCTACTAACAAGTGATCTAATAGGTTAAGATATACAAATAGGAGAACTATGAACCTCCGAAGAAAGAGCTACAAGCACTAGATGTCAGTAGCTAAAATGATGGGAGAATTTTAGGGTCCTTGACCCTAAGCAGTGGCGAGTCAAGAAACGAAGTACCTCGAGAAGTCCCTCAACTAGTTTTATTGGTCAACGCCATGACAACACAATGACAAGGAGCAGTGGAAAGCTTAGACTTCAAGAGAAGCTAGTGTAGTATAAATGAAGTAAAGGAGGAAGTAAGTAGGTTAGAGGGGGTCTGAAAGAACGCCAAGAAGTCAATAAGCCAAGGCGAAGATGAGGCATGGTCATTTACATATGACGACAAAGGAACCCTTATACATAAACTACGTCACTACAGAAGAGGGTATATGACCCTGGGGAGTTAGGCCGATGACAAGCCTTTAAAAGAAACAAGACAAGCAATGAGATAAATGATGTAGGGGACAAGTTATGGTTTTAGTACGACCACCATTGGACGAGACGTGGAGGAAAGTGTCACCAAAGTCTAAAGCATGCCATGTAGAAGACAGCGGGGAGTCAATAAGTAAGAAAAGTTATGGAATGTGAGAGGGAATAACCGTTAGCTAGTAAATGGCCGTACGAATAGAGAACCACTTCTCAGCAGTGCGTGAGTTGGATACCAAGATAACACCAAGTTAGAAGGAGGATAGTAGAGACCCTACAAACTACCCAGATCACAAAAGGTCAGGAGGATGTTGGGACCGTTGGAAGGGGTATGCAAGAGTTCATGATGATCTGTTATGGGATTGTCCTATCCTAAATGGAGGGAGCACCTAGCCGTCTAGGGTACATGAGGGGTAACAGAAGGAGGAACCTCACTGCTAAGTTGGAACTAGAGGGCTAAGAGTTGAAGTCTCTAAACTAGCTATAGGAGTAAGTCATTAAGCCAACCGAGTATAGACAAGTAAGTGGAACATTCAATAAATGTTCTAGTGAATGGCAGAGAATCCGAGGAAGCACATGGAAGTTTCGATGAAGGATTGAGAATATGTGTAGGTGATTCGGGTTCAAGAAAATGCATAGTGCAGTACGACGAGGAAAAGCATTACCAAGAAGGAGGAAATCATTGAGTTACCTTACCTAAGGTGCCCCACTCTGGGTGGGAGCAGCATAGTAGGATGTCATCCATAGGAAGCGACTAGTTAAGGATAAGTAAGACACGTTCAGTTAAGCCCACTAAGAACCCAGACTATGAGATTAAGGCCATAGGCAGGCATCAATTGAGACAAATGACGTGGATGAGGTATGTTCAAGCCTACCAAGGGCAAGCCACTATTGGAAACGTAGACCCAAAACAACAACGTGAAGATACTCAACAGAGTTTGGTGACCGAAAATAGTACAAAGTATCAACAGAAGGGTAGTAAAAGTAAAGAAGCAAGGAGAACACGATAGAACGCTACATGAAATAAAATAAAAAAAGGTGGTTGTCGACCGGACAATGAATGCGTGAAGGAAGATAGTTGGGGCGTGGTCAAGCACCATTGTGAGTAGAAGTCGTGGGTGTCATCTGTCAAGTCTACCTAGAGAAAGTTTCTTGTGGAAATGTTGGCTCTGAGGTATGGCGAGGAGCTACTAAACTGAGTAGATCAAAGCTAGTACCAAGCATCGATGAAGGAGTTGTGGAAGTAAGGAGGAAACCACAAGGTTATAATGAAAGTTATGGTGAAAAGGGGCGGTAGTTGATAAAACGACAAATTCAGGGAGAAAGATAGTTAGGAAGAGCCGGCGAAAGAATATGAAGGTCAACAAGGAGGCGTTAAGGTGATTGCCGGTGGAGAATAAGTTGGACCATAGGAAGCCCATCAAGAACTGAGAAGCTCAATGGTCAACTTTAAAGTAGAAGTGTGGTGGTCCAGAACGGTCGAAGGGAAAACCTTATCGGTCAAGGTACATAAGTGAGAAGAGAATATGGGCACAAGATGACTACATCAAGGACGAGGGACATATAGAACTAGCGAGAAACATCGGTAAGAGGAGTCACGAGTAAAGAAGTAAGATGGATATGAGTTTAGCGAACCTGCTAGGATACCCTAAAGTGAAAGCAATACCACCTATGAAGGTGAAATGTGGCAATCTCTCGAGTGAATTTCTTGGATGGGGAAACTGTACGAGGAATTTCAAGCAAGGTCTAAGAACAATAGAAGAGATCATACGAGAACTCCCAAGTCAAACAGTGATAAGGAAGTGTTAAGTTAGGTTCCATGAGTGAAAAAGTACTCAAAATGGAAGGTCATGATTCTGGAAAGAAGTCATAAAGTTAATCGCAAGCTAGAGAAAGATACAAAGGATGCCTCTAATGCATACAGAAAAGTAGAAGCAGTAGTATGAGGTTCCAGCACTAAGCAGCAAGTAACAAGAAGGTGACCATTCAGTTTATGGTTAATGGATAAGACGAGGCCTTAAGGAAGAAAGTAAGAGATGCAAAGTTAGGAGATACAAGGACCTAGGTGATCTATGAGATCAACCCCGGACGAGAGTTATGTTAAAGGAGTTTTACCATTTGACTGAATAGAGGATAAGCTGCCATCTGTAACCTTTGGGTTCGAGAGAAGCATTAACTTCTCATGTACCGAACAATGGATAGTTATCGTTCCTATATATGTACAAGGTGCAGCCGAGGTAATGTGAGGGGTTAAGAAGCCACAACAACATTGAAGTTGCAGGGAATGGAGAGAAGGATTTTAGGTCATGTCATATAAGTTAAAGGAAATAAAAATCCGCAAAGTGAAAAGGATTACCACAAGCGATGCTTAGAGTGATCACAGTGTACAAATTTCGAGGGCGAAATTTCTATAAGTGGGGAGGAAATGTGATACCTCGACTTCGATAAGTTCAACATCAACTACCAGGAGAGTTGGATCAACATGGCAAGCCAAATTGGCATTTTGGCTCACCACGTTTGGGGGTCAAATTGTGAAATAAAAAGGTCGTGAGCCACTCAAGGTTACACAGGTGCTACAAGCTAGGGAATTATAAATGATCAAGGGTTACCAACGAGTTGTTATAGTAAGAATAGATGATCGTGAGAAGGAAGTATAAGAAGGGTGTTGATAGAAGGATGAGTTCCGAGCAAATTTCGTGGACGAAATTTTTATAAGGGTGGAGGAAATGGTACACCCCGACCTTTGGGTTCAGGTTCGACCATAATACGGGAACGGTTGGGTTAACAGTTACGTACGAAGGGTTGCAACCGTGAATTAGTAATAATAATTTATTATATTATTATTACTAATTAATATATATAATTTTGTAGGCCACTTTTACTTTCCTATCTGGTTGTTTGTCGAGAAAATCAGAGCTTCCTCAAACCCTAACTTGTGAATCCGTTGAGGAGGAGCGAGCTTGGCTCGATGATCACGGATCGTTGAAGATTGTGCGCTATGATGAGGTCAAGCTATGACCTCTTCTTGAACAATCATTTTTTTTGTTCGAGTTATTAATGGAACGCGGCCACAGTCTCTCTTCAGAGCCAAGAACGACAGCAACGAAGGAAAAAAAAAAAGCAGCAGCGAATTGGTGAGTGTGAAATTGATCGAATGGGGGGATTACGAGCAGGAAGTCGCGCGATTGTGGAACCTTTCCTCTGCTCTTAAGGAAGCTAGAGAGAAGAAGGAAGCTCTGGAAGGGAAGCTTTATTCGCTCAATCAGGTTGAAGCTGAGTCATTAAGTCGATTGAATGTGCTTGAAGAAGGGAGAGGGTTGGCGATAGGAAAAAGATGATGGAGAGCTTGTCAGACTGCTTGCAGGGTGCAGCAGATAAAGCTAGGGATGATTCAAGCAAGGAGAGACGATCCTAAGGATTTAATTATGGTCAGCAGTTAGTTCAAGCTAAACGACTTGAGTTTGAGGTGAGTGTAAAGTGGGTAAATTCTACGCCTTACGTATTATTTTAAGTGTTATGATTTTGAGTATTTTAGCAAATTGATTACCGTTGCTTGGTTATGTCTATGATTGCTTATTTGTGATTTGCTTGAGCTATGATTTGAGGTGATTTTGTGCTATTTACCTTAAAGCGTTATGTTTGAGTCATGGTTAAAGTTTAAGAAACAAGTTATTTTAATGAAGTAACTCACCTTCAAGAAGGTGCAGTCGTTTTAAGTGTTTTTAGTCACTAGTGCAGTCCGTTGTCTTTTGAGACATTTTGAGATAGAGTAGTAGTTATACTCTTGAGACTTTTAAGATGGGCAGCAGTTATGCCCTTGAGAATCGTGGTGAAGAGCCACCACGATAAGTTTAAGATGTTAGGGGGATGAATCGTTACGACTTCCCTAACTAAGTTTAAGTTTAAGAAAAGCCTGAATGGCTTCTCATACGTATGAGTTGGCAACCGGACTAGCTAGTGAGGGATCCCCGTGTCAGTCAAGAATTTAAGTGGAGATTTGAGTTTTAAGAGTACAGTTTCAAGAATCTTGATTTTTAATAGTGGAGGTACAAAACAACTTCTACTAAGTTAAGTAAAGTGATCCAGTATTAATAAGATGTTAAACGTAAGGGCGTAGACTGACCCCAACTCACTCACCAGTTTGAAGAGGAAGAAGCTAGAGGAGTAGTTAGAGAGCAGCGGGATCGAGAGAAACAGTTCGAGTGAAGCTAGGTAGAGGAGGACGGTACGAGCGTCACAGAGGATGTCTATTCAGAGTTTTTCACACCAGCAGCAACACTTGAGACTAGTTAGTTATTATGTTTTATGATTATGAGTATAGACTGGAGATCAAGTTGAGGTTTTAAAGTTTGAGTTAAGTTGTCCACGTGTTAGGGCGTTGCTTTGAACTACAAGAGTGGGTTTCAGAAATTTGTTTATGAAAATTTTTCCCAGTTACAATTTAAGATTTGAGTATTTTATCTATCAAGGGCATTTTAGTAAAAGTAGTACCCGGCTGGGTTAGGGTGTTACATAAATATTCAGATTGAATTTTTTTTTTTAAATTTCGAGACCAAATTTTTTTTGGCAAAAATTGTTTGCCCTAATTTTTCTTTACATACAACACTTGAAAATTATTGAACTAATTAAACTTCTACTTAATTTTCTAATTAACCCCTAATTATAAAAAGAAAAAAAAAGCCACGTGGCTGGCTAATTGTTGTCCAACCCACCATCACACCCCTCCCCGTTTTTGGGGGAATCCCCATTTCCATCCCCAAATTTGGAGATTCGTTTGGAGATTGTCCCCAAATATAGAGATTCTCCCATTTAGAGAGACTCCATTGGAATCAACTTTTCCCCATTTATAGAGAATGCCTCATTTATAGGGTCCCCATTGGACTCAACTTTTTCAGATTCTTTTATATACCCAAACCTATTAAAATGCTATTAATTAGCCAAATCTTTTGTAATGCATCAAAATATTAGCTATTTTTACATTATCGTAAATAATTTTGTAAATCTTTTCGTAGCTAAAATACCAAATTTTGCAATGTTGACTTTCATTTGTCTCTTTCAAGTCAGTATCATGTTGCCAAGTCAATATTACTGACAAAATTGCTAACTGAAAGTTAAGATTTGGCTAATTCTTAATATTTCGATAGGTTGGGATAATATAAAAGAATTTAAAAAAGGTTTAGATAAAAAATAGACATAGAAAAGGAAATCGTGAAATTACTTTTTTTTATGGCAATCGAGAAAGTACTTTAAGTTGCAAGTTGTGTTGATTAGCGGGTTGTGTTGATTATTTCTTTGGATTGCCGCATGCCCACCCACTTACTCGCATAAACATATTTCCCTTTGAGAGCTCTTTTTCCAATCTTTGCCCGTACTTTTAAATTGGGAGATAAACTTATAAAAAATATATATTGGGGATCAAATATAACACTTTGAGACGAATTCCACATAGATAGAATACGAAAAAGATCCATAATATATAAGAAATTGAACATAATTGACAAAATACGTTTTGGGATGAAATTGAAGAGTTATTGTGAGAACTTTAAATGACCTTATAAGAAGTCACCTTAATATGCACTCCAAGACAAAAATCGTGAGATCGGTCCCAAAACGGACAAAATCCCACATCGGGTTGGAGGTCAAATTGTGTCTTTTTTTGTATAGTCTGCGAAATGCGCCTATTTTTCGAATTTTCTTTTCGCCTAACTCAATTTTTGGAATCCTTAGTTGAACATTTGAATATTGAGGTTATATAAGTGTGTGTGAATTTTCACTATATGTTTTTTCTAAGTACGACATGTTACTTTGGTGTAATGTTATATGTTATTACTCATATGTTAGATGAGATTTAATATAATTTATCAAGATAAGTACAATATAATGACTTTTTCCATATTTCCGGGCTAAAACTGGTGACGCATTAACCCTTGACCCACTAGCTCGACCGGATCCGGGTCAACCAGTGGTTGACAACCTTGCTTGAGCTTTACTGTATTGTATTGTATTGTATTGCAATGTGGTAAATGCCAAGTTTGGTCACTCGGTTTACTAGAACGTGTCATGTTTAGTCACTGAAAAAAACTAATACCAATTTTAGTCACTCGAATTAGTAAAACGGTTCACGTTTAGTCACTCTCCGTTAATTTTATCTGATGTGACAGTCAACCCTAATAATTGACCGTTAAATATCTGACGTGATAATTAAAAAATTAATAAAAAATAAATCTGATTCTTTTAGTATTTTAATGTCATTAAAATAAGGGTTAATAGCATTTTGTACCCCTCTACTATGATAAATTAACAAACGTACCCCTCTACTAAATTTTTGTACAAATATACCCTTCTAATATTAAATCGTAACAAATTTACCCTTCCATCTAATTTTTCGTTAAGTGACCGTTAACTGAGCTGGAAAATGACCCAATTGCCCCTCATTTACTCCTAATTTCAGTTTTAATTATTTTATTATTTATGTCTAATAATTAATTAGAAAAACAAAACCCTAAACTAATTCAGAAGCACTCCGGAGACCGTTCATCTCCCGGCAGTCTCACCTACCGATCAGTCTTCGACTCGACGGCGCCGTCTGCTCCCGCATCTCCTCGCCGTCCTTCTTCTACTTGTTCCAGAACCACAAGGCCCACGATATCCAGAAGCGCCGCCGCATCGTGGACGACAACGACGTCCTGCTTTCCTCATCATCTCCAGCTTGCACCCTCATCCGCCGCGACGTTCCCTTTTCCTCCTCCGCTAGATGTATGTCTTTGATATCATGTAATGAATTACTTAATCTCAATAATCTTGAGTTGTATTTTGCTTTTGAGTTGTTACTAAAGATGGGTTCATTTATTTTGATGCAAATTTTTGAGAGATGAGCCCTAACAAGCAGCTCCAATATAAAGCGAAGCCAGCAGCACCAAAAGCTTAAAGAGTGTCAGAAAAATTCCCATTAATTTCCTTCAACGAGGCTGTTGATCATCATCATCACTCATCAGTACTACTACGTTGCCCGTAATGAAGCAGCTGCAGGAAGGAGATGCGGGAGCAGGCGCCGCCGTCGAGTTGCAGGACTGATCGCTGGGGGAGAGTTCAGCTAGACGGCCGGTCTCTGGAGTGCTTCTGAATTAGTTTAGGGTTTTATTTTTCTAATTAATTATTGAACATAAATAATAAAATAATTAAAACTGAAATTAGGTGTAAATGAGGGGTAATTGGGTCATTTCACAGCTCATTTAACGGTCATTTAACGGAAAATTAGATGGAAGGGTAAACTTGTTACGATTTAATATTAGAAGGGTACGTTTGTGCAAAAATTTCGTAAAAGGGTACGTTTGTTACTTTTTCATAGTAGAGGGGTACAAAATGCTATTAACCCTTAAAATAATAAACTAAAAAAATTCCTTTCCCCCATCCGATCTTTCACCACCACCAATTTCCCTCCGGGATACGAACGACCGCCGCCGCCGGACTCCCTTCACCACCACCAATTTCCCTCCGGGATACGAACCTCGACGGCCGGGGGGGGGGGGGGGTGGGGTTCACGTACACGATTCTCGACGGTAGAGGTGACAGTGGTGGCGGCGGAGACGAAAGAGGAGTACAATCCGGCGGGGGCGGTTGAGGTTATGGCGGGGTTGGCGAAGGCAGAGGTGTTAGTGGAGTTTGCGGTGACGGCGGCGGAAGGTGGCTACATGGGTCGACGCAAGGGCATGATCCACACTTCATCTCCGCCGGTGCTTCATCATCCTGTAGTGGGTTTTGATCGTCCAACTTCTCTGTGACACTGCTAATGGTGGCCGCATTAGTATCGGGAAGGTGGCATAGCATAGTATCAAAAGGATTGAGAAGTATGCAACCAGTTTTTACACGCTGGAAGTTTATGGGAAATGGAGGAGAAAAGGATTGAGAAGAATGCAACCAGTTTTTACACGCTGGAAGTTTATGGGAAATGGAGGAGAGGGAGAGGGAGGAAGGTGGAATGAGAAGGTAGATGGGGGAGCATAGATGGGAGCAGTGGTGGATCCAGAAAATTTTTATAGGAGTGTCCTCTTTCAAAAATTAAATTTGATAATTCATAAATAAAAAAATATCTGATTAGTGCAAATATACCATATTAGATAATAATTCACGAATTGATTGCATATTTGATTTCTAATCTTGTTCTTGATGGAACCCAAACTTGAAAGACTTTTTCAACTCTTGCAGTATACTCATAAAATCAATTCAAATTAAGGATAGCTCGAATGAGTTTAATTGTTAGGTTTTAAAAATAATTGCGAATAAAGAATAGTGTTTTTACTATAACATAGTATTTAAAACAGAACAACAAATGAGTTGCAACCTAGAGAATATGTTTAATAATAGTAGTGTCCTAAGTTTGAATAACGCAGAGTACTGCTTATATATTTTTAATCATATGCAAACTACTACCGAGGAAAGGATAATCATTTTTTCAAAATTTAAGGGTGTCCCGGATTATCAATTATATTTTTTTATCCATACGAAACTACTATCGGGGGGGGGGGGGTTCACGTACACGATTCTCGACGGTAGAGGTGACAGTGGTGGCGGCGGAGACGAAAGAGGAGTACAATCCGGCGGGGGCGGTTGAGGTTATGGCGGGGTTGGCGAAGGCAGAGGTGTTAGTGGAGTTTGCGGTGACGGCGGCGGAAGGTGGCTACATGGGTCGACGCAAGGGCATGATCCACACTTCATCTCCGCCGGTGCTTCATCATCCTGTAGTGGGTTTTGATCGTCCAACTTCTCTGTGACACTGCTAATGGTGGCCGCATTAGTATCGGGAAGGTGGCATAGCATAGTATCAAAAGGATTGAGAAGTATGCAACCAGTTTTTACACGCTGGAAGTTTATGGGAAATGGAGGAGAAAAGGATTGAGAAGAATGCAACCAGTTTTTACATGCTGGAAGTTTATGGGAAATGGAGGAGAGGGAGAGGGAGGAAGGTGGAATGAGAAGGTAGATGGGGGAGCATAGATGGGAGCAGTGGTGGATCCGGAAAATTTTTATAGGAGTGTCCTCTTTCAAAAATTAAATTTGATAATTCATAAATAAAAAAATATCTGATTAGTGCAAATATACCATATTAGATAATAATTCACGAATTGATCGCATATTTAATTTCTAATCTTGTTCTTGATGGAACCCAAACTTGAAAGACTTTTTCAACTCTTGCAGTATACTCATAAAATCAATTCAAATTAAGGATAGCTCGAATGAGTTTAATTGTTAGGTTTTGAAAATAATTGCGAATAAAGAATAGTGTTTTTACTATAACATAGTATTTAAAACAGAACAACAAATGAGTTGCAACCTAGAGAATATGTTTAATAATAGTAGTGTCCTAAGTTTGAATAACGCAGAGTACTACTTATATATTTTTAATCATACGCAAACTACTACCGAGGAAAGGATAATCATTTTTTCAAAATTTAAGGGTGTCCCGGATTATCAATTATATTTTTTTATCCATACGAAACTACTATCGGGGGTTGGATAATGTTTTCCCAAATTTTAGGGGTGTCCCGGGACACCCCTAAAGGCCCATGTATCTGCCACTGGATGGGAGGCTTGAAGAGGGGAGTAAGATCATATGGGAAAAGGAATTTTTTATTAATTATTTTAGTTTATTATTTTAATGATTTGGAAATATTAAAAGAATTAAATTTATTTTCATTAATTTTTAATTATCATGTCAGACATTTAACGGTCAACTGTTATGGTTGACTGTCACATCAGAAAGTTAACGGAGAGTGACTAAGAGGGTTATTATTTTTCGCCCTGTCATTTACTATTTACCGCCCATAATTTGTGAAAATATAATTTTTATCCTTTGTCCATTTTTTTACAACACAAACCCTATTCCACCAAAATACCAGCGACCACCGCTGCCACCGACAATAGACCACTGCCGGCGCACCCCTGCTGCCGCCGGCGCCACCACCACCGCCAGATCACTACCACCAGATCACCACCATGGCCAGCGCCATACTATCGACGCCGACGGGTGGACCCCGTCCGACGCCGGCGGGCGAACCGCGTCCTATGCTGGTGGGCGAACCGCGTCCTATGCTGGTGGGCGGACCATTCCTCGCCGTCCTATCCCCTGAAAACGAAGGTTGTGGTCTAAGAAACGGGGAAGAGAAATGGGTATAGGTATAATAAGTGAGATTACAATGTACACAAATAAAAAGTGAGATTACAGATGTAATATTTTCTATACCGTTTTTTATGAAAATTTTGGGACGGAAGTTTATAATTTTGATATGAAAAGATCGCTCCCTTATTTCTGTCCAAAATTACTCTATCGTTGCTAAACATCACCACTCCTTTAAGAATTAAAAAAATTTATTTAATCATTGACCTAACTAATTATGATATTTTATTATTATTTAAAGGTTTACAAAAAGTAATTAAAACCTAATGGAAACAAACACGAAAATTAAGAATAACCTAAATTTACCTTAATTAAATTAAAATTTCCATTGTGATACTAACTAGCAATCAACTAATCCCAAGTTTAATATCCAGCATCACCAAATTTATTCACTAAGTAATTAAGTGAGACAAACTTGGTTTACAATTATGTTAAATTAGGGTTTGATCGGATTACAGTTTAACGAGACTAAGATGGCTACAAAAGTATCTTTTTACAGTTACTAGAGTTATCGATGTGAAAAAAATATTTAAACCCCTGGCGCTCCACTAAAATGTGTATACGAACTTGGTGGAATCAACCGTTTCTCGATTAGACGTCCCGGGCAAAAAGTATGAATAGTGTCCCAACTTTCATCGAGGTTTTTTGGCGTTCTGCGGTTTGTAACGAGCAGTTTCTTGGGCCTACCATGCGTGTTTCGATGATGCGAATGATTGTTGTTAGTGGAGGCAGAGATGATTTTGCCTCTAAGACAATGTCGTAGTAGAATTGGATGGATCGAGGTTTAATGTAGTTGTTTGGTTGGAATAAGGGTTTAGGGTTTGGGAGGGATAGAAGGTGTAGATAGTGGATGAGAAGCTTTCCTTCTTTATTGTCATTATATATATTTAACATAATAATATAATTATTAACCTTTAATCTAGCTAACATACTGGTTCTTATTTATATTCCATACGTGTTTGATAACTACCAGATGTGGATTGGGATGTTAATTTAAGAGTTTAATTAGGGATATAAAATTAGATGTGGGTTATCGGGGATGAATTTATTTCCGGTTGTTAATTAGGAAAATAATTATTAGAGGTATTGGGAGGAAATTACATTGGGTTGGGTTGTTAAATAGGAAAATACAATTAGAGGTTGTTAATTACGCAAATTTCCTTCCGAAAACTTATTACTCAAATTTCCTCTTTCTAAAACTTACCTTAAAAACTCTCTTTAATTTGCTTAATTATCGAATTTATAATTACTTAAAACAACATAACTATTTAAATCCTAATTATGGTATTTTGCACTTATTTAATTACTAAATTAATAATTAATAATTCAAAAAAGATTTTTGAAAGAAAAAAGTAGTAATCGTCCGCCGCTGGGTCTCAGACCCCGTCTGTCGCCGGTTCTCGGACCCTGTCCGCGCAGGGTGAGCGGACCCCGTCCGCGTCCGACGGTCGGACCCCGTCTGTCCACGACGTTTAGCTTCTCGGCAAGCTCGTTCCTCTACGTCATCGACGACAACACCCACGGTGAACTCCTTCCTCTTCAACGCCGACGACTTTGTGAGGGGAGGGAGTGGGGTCGGACGAATGGAGGGGTCGACGGTGGGAGCAACGGTGAAGGGATCGGAGGAATGAAGTGGCCGGCAATGGCTATTGTGAGAGGATGGAGGAGGTTGTGAGGGGATGGGTTAGATAGATTTAGAGTTAGTTGGAAGAAGGTCAAAATCGTTTTATATTTTAGAACTATGGGCGGCAAATAGTAAATACTAGGGCGACAAATAGCGATTCATAGTGACTAAACGTGAACTGTTTTACTAATTCCAATGGCCAAAATTGATATTAATTTTTTTCCACTGACTAAACATGACACGTTATAATAAATCGAGTGACCAAACTCAGCATTTATCCTATTGCAATGTATTGTAGTAGGGTTGGAGGTATTTTAGCTTTTGGTTAAAGCGCTAGGCTAAGCACAACGTTCCTTTGATGGATGGGTCAAACAAAATATTGGTGCCCTAAACAAAGAGGAAGAGAGTGGGAAAGGTTGAACATACTCAAATGGTAAAAGTAAAAAAGAAAACGTTCTGGGGTTTCCACTAATATAATATTAATAATCTAGAAAGGGAAATCGATAAAGTACTTAAGTTTTTTTTTTTTTTACAAAGGGGGATTTTATTGCACTTCAAACTGATCAATTACAAAGAGGGGGAACGAACCAACAATTTGGTTCCAACAAGAGGAAGCCCAAAGGCATCCGGTTACAAACAAAGCTCTGTAAGACAAAATGCAGGAACAGAGAACAAAACACAGTCTGCAAGCAACCACCCGGAAAGAGCAAAACCCTTGATCGAAAACAGATCATAAAGAAACTCTCTTGCAAACAACCAATCAAAGTGCAACAAAACCACAATCAGCTTGTCCGATCATATTGAAATCCATGGTAGTTGAACATCATCACTCCATGTGCCGCCTCCTGGGGAGAACTCAAAGGCATCCATCACAGTGATTCTTGAAACTAGACTGCATGGCGGTGGAAGAGGATATAACCAGATTGCTCCAAGCTGAAGAGGCAGAGGAGGCCGAGGCAGAGAGATCAGGTTCGAAGAAGAGC